TACTTTACTTCAGTGTTGTTTGGGGTGAGGAGTCTGAGGTCAGCTCCACTTCCCTTAGAGTTGGATGGCCCATCAACAAATAGCTTCCAGGTAGGGCCAAGGCCTTTCTTTCTCTTCTTCTTTTGGGGCTTGGTGAAGGGATCAACTAAAGGTGCATTCTGCCACAAAGTCGGCCAAGGCTTGTGCTTTGATTACAGGCCCTAGCTGGTACTGGTGGTCAAACTCCAATAGTTCGACAGCCCACTTGATCAGTTATCCTAAGGCCTCTAGTTTGGTGAGGATGGCCTTAAGGGGTTGGTTGGTCAAGACCATGATCGTGTGGGATTGGAAGAATGACCTGAGCTTCCTGGCCGAGACTAGTAGGGCGAAGGCTAGTTTTTCTACCTTAGGGTACCGGATCTCAACGTCGTAGAGAACCTTGATGACATAACAAATTGATCTCTGCACTCCATCTTCTCTTATGAGTACTGAACTAGTGGCCCCATCCATGGCCGAGAAATATAAGTACAACACATCTCCTGGAAATGGCTAGGTGAGGAGAGGTGGGGAGGTGAGGTAAGACTTGAATTCTTTGAAGGTGTGTTGGCACTCTTCTGTCCATTAAAATCTTTCAGCTTCTAGATGGCCCAGAAGAAAGGCAAACAACGGTCAGCCGACTTCGACATGAAGCGGCTAAAGGCAGCCACTCGGCTAGTAAGCCTTTGAGTTTCCTAGACTGGCCGAGGTGGTGCCAAGTCCATTATAGTTCGGATCTTCTCTCAATTGGCCTCTATACCTCATTATGTGATGAGAAAGCATAGAAATTGGCCTGATGTGACACCAAAGGAACACTTGCTGGAGTTGAGCTTCATATTGTACTTCAGCAAGGTGTCGAAGGTTTTGGCTAGGTCCAAGGTATGCTGGTCAGCTTTCAAGCTCTTCACAACCATGTCATCTACATTGGCCTTGACGTTTCTTCCCATTTGATACTTAAAGACTTTATTTACAAGGCGCTGGTAGGTCACCTCAGCGTTCTTGAGGCTGAAGGGCATGACCTTGTAACAATATGTGTTGTGCTCTGTGATGAACGAGGTATTCTCTTCATCCTCGGTGTGCATCTTGATTTGGTTGTACCCAGAGAAGGCATCCATGAAGCTGAGTAGCTCGTACCTTAGAATGACATCGATGAGGTGATCTATCACCGGCAAAGGAAAACTGTCTTTAGGGCAGGATCAGTTGAGGTTTGTAAAGTCAACACAGATCTGGCATTTCCCGTTAGATTTCTTCACCATAGCCACATTAGACAACTAGGGTAATATACCTCTTGGATGAACCCAGTGTCGAATAGCTTGTTAACTTCCTCTCCTATAGCCTTTCATCGCTTCGATACAAAGTTCCTCTTTTCTATCGAATTGGCCTAGAGCTCGGGTCCACACTCAACTTGTGAATAATGACCAAAGAGTCAATTCTGGGCATGTCAATGGCAACCCAAGCAAAGACGTTAACATTAGTTCTAAGAAAACTTATCAGTTCGTATAGGCTCTCTAGGGGAAGGTTGGACCCAATGCGAACTGTTCTTTCAGGCTTGGCCTCATCTAGGGGGACTGAAATGAGGTCCTCGGCCGGTTGGCCTTCGCTTGTTGGTTCCTCCTTAAGGCTGAGGTCCTCTAGGGGCAGGGCTTCTTTGTTCTTGCCCTTCAACATTGCCACATAGCATTGGTAGGCAACTTGTTGGTCCCCTCGAACGACTTCGATGCCATGTTTGGTGAGGAACTTAAGGGCAAGGTGATAGGTGGAGATGCCTACCTTGAGTGTGTGAGCAGTTGGCCTCCCGATGATGGTGTTGTAGGGTAAGCCAATCCTCACGACCAAGAACTTGTTCATCTTCGTCACCTATTGAGGTTTCATCCCTACCGTAACTGGTAGGTGATTCTATCCTCTGGTTTGACCACGTTCCTAAAGAAGTCGACGAATGGCACATCGACGAGCTAGAGGCGCTAGAGCGCCAACTTCATTCTCTTGAATGCATCATAGAAGAGGATGTCAGCCGAGGAGCCGTTGTCTAGCAATATCCTATTCACCATAAAGTTTGCGATGATAACGGATACCATGAGTGTGTCGTCATGGGAGACTGAGATCCCTTTCAAGTCCTCATCTGTGAATGTGAGGGTTTCATTCTACTTCGGCTTCTTGAAAGCCAACCCTTGGATGTTCAACCGCTTGGCGTAGGCCTTGTGGGCCGAGGCCGAGGCTCCACCTAAGGCCGTACCCTCGATGATGACATCTATGATGCCTGCTAACTACTACGGCTGCTACGGGGGCGAGGGGTTAGCCTCACCCCCCATGCACTGCTTCAGATGATTGCGGTGGATGAGGGACTCAAATTCATTCTTTAACTCGGGTTTCTCCTCTTGGGTTTCTCTTCGTCCTTTCTGGCCACTTCACATATTCCTCCTTTCCTACTTGCATGAGGATCTGTGTTTAAGTGGAGTTGAGTGGTGTATACTTGGTGTAAGCTAGGACCGAAGTCGGTGGCTTCTTGTTGTCTTTGTTGTTGTTGTTGTTGCCGTTGCGGCTATCTCCATTCCTTCTCTTCTTCTCAAGTCCTCCGTGGTGGTGGCCGGCCTCTCCCTCATGGCGGTCATTGGCCGAGACCTCCTATACGGCGATTTACTTCTATGCTTTCTTCAAGAATTCTGCATTGGATTTTGATGGTGTCTTGGCTACCGAGCACTTAAGGGTCGAATCTGACAGGAGGTCATTGCTGGTGGCATGAATGGAGACTATGGGGTCGAGGTCTCAGACCTTAAGTTCCTCCTTCTTGAAGCAGTCAATGTAGCACCACAAGCTCTCGCCATGCTTCTGTCGAGCAACCATTAGTGAGACAATGCTCTTCTGGCATCGCCTGCTGTTTATGATGTATGCAAGGAAGAGATTGGTGAAATGTTCCCATGAACTGATGGAGTGAGAAGGAGCTAGAGAACCATCAGCAGACTGCCCCCTTGATGGTCGCATGAAAAGTTTGGCATGTTAGGGCGTCGGAGTATGCATAGAGGAGCATGAATGTCTTGAAACTTTCTAGGTGGTTGTCCAGATCGCTTGTTCCATCGTACATTTTGAGTGTTAGTGCTTTGAAGTGCGGCGGGAGCTGAGATGATGTCCTAGGTGAAGGTGTCCATCCTCCCGGATAGAGGGTTTTGACTGGCCGAGGCGTCAACTCGGCTCTCTTTGAATTGGCAGAGATCATCTTTGACGGCGTCGAGCTATGCCTGCATGTTGATGATCTTTTGGTCGATGGGGGTTTGCGCTCCATCCAGGTTCTATCGGATGCAGTATGTATTGGCCTAGTTCCTTGAATACTTTGACGCGGGTGCATGCCCATTTCTTCTCACTTGCCTATCATTCAAGAGGTCTCAGAAATCCGAGACACGAGAGGGAGAGGCATGGCATCAACCATTGACCCTCGAAGGGGGGCTATGGTGGCCTGATTGTCCACCTTCGTCTGGGGAATTTTCTTGTCAATGGTGGTGGTGATGTTCCTAGTCTTGACGGTATTCCCGAGATTGTGCAAATTCTTCCCCTCTCTGGCTAGAGGGTTAGGAGGACCTTGGCGGTTGGCTGGCACGTTGACTGCTATTAGACTCTAAGGGGTTAGTCCCATTGGACCTGATTGGGACGATGGCCAACAGGTCTGGAGACACGCGCTCACCATGGTGCCCCAGGCTTTCAGTGGGGCAGCTGCCCTGAGGGCGGCCTCCTATCGAGCGCCTCACCTCGACCAGCCTATACACGAGGTTGTCAAGGCGGTTGAGGACCACTTGAAACTGGTCCATCGAGACTAGGTTCTAAGTGTTCTTGGTTTTTCTTTCCATGTCGGCTAAAGCTTAGGAGTTAGCTTTTAAGTTTTTCTAAAGTGTAAATTTGATCGAAGGAAGTCTTAGTGATGTTCCCGCAGACAGTGCGAATTGTTGCTACTCTGAATGGGCTAAGGGAAACACTGTATCTGCTTCCAAGCCGAGGGCTGACTGAGGAACCTGAGGTCTACTACGACTGAGGACTGGTAGGTTAGACCTGTGGAGAGGGAGAGAACATCAGAGGCCCTAGGTGCTAACCTGAGGCGGAGACTCTAACGGTTAAGTTAGTATGGGTGTAACACCAGGTGGACAAGGCCTAAGGGGAGAACACTCAGACGAGGCTACAAAGAAAACTAAAGAGTTCTTATAAATCTTGAGTCTAGATTCCAGATGTTTACCTTGAGAGGGTTGCCCCCCATTTATACTTAAGGCCACTTAGAGGTATGTGGGCTCAAACGATCAAGATGTGGTCTGATTCTGAGGATATCGGTCATCCAAGGCCGCCATGTGTGACTGTGCCATTGATTTTGGGTTGTGCACCAACCTCCACTTTGCGTGTGCCCTTATTGGGTCCGCTTTGGGTGCTGCTGTCAAACACGTGCGAGCGCATTATTGCTGAGGGCCATGTGCTTCTACCTCATAAACTAATTTATAAAAGGGACAAATGGGTATTTGAAGAAGATTAATTTATTAGTGGATGTTTTTGTTGGGTTATTTAAAAGTTTAAGAGAGGTTTTTATAATTATCAAAATCTTGATGGGACCCCAAAAAAATAAAGAGAATGTGTAGCCCATCCTGTCCCCATTACCTTACTCCACCAACTCAATGATTTGGACAACGCATCCATGAACCACTCTCTATAAAATAAAATAAAAGTTAAAAAATAATCATAAGAAACAAAGTCAAAGTGGACCACCAGTTGGAGCCACTCTTTCCGTGTTTTGGTAAATGTCGTTGATTTTAACGTGAACTTTTTTATAATTTATTTTTTGTGTATACCACAAGAAAGAACAAGCCAAACCCTTTTCTTCATTGTCCCCCAAAGTCTAAGTCTATAGTTGAAGGATTAAAGCTGTGTAAATTCCCTCCGTTTTTTCTGCTTCCTCTTATAGTCTTATAATCAACCCTTGTTTGACAAAGGTTCTTCAACCATCGAAACCAGTTCAAATGGAAGATGAAATTGCAGAATTTCTTAGGATCAAGTTTTTAAGGAGTCTTGCAGAGTTCGCACAAACCAGAATTCCCTTTAAATCTAGATTTCAAGACTTGGAGGAGGTAGCCAAAAAGCTACCTGAGATCCCACAGCTTTCCACCGAGCGACAGAAACTCAGGAATATACTTTACGATCTCAATGAAGTATTGAGAGAATGTCTTACACTATCGAAGAAACGCGATCGTCTCTGTGGTGAGGGATTATGGTTCCGTCCAAAGGCCAAGAAAAGACTGGCTGACATTAAAGCACGACTCCAGCAACTAATTGCATTTGCAACCCAAATACAAATAAACCCAGATCCCCCTCCTTCCAGTAGCCCACATTACGACAGAGCGAGATGGTCGAAAGACGTCGCAATTAAACGGTGGAGCTCCCGGTCAGTAGACACATCAAAGGTTCATGGCTTTGATGACAAAATGAAGGAGATGGAGGAATTTCTTTTTGAAGGAGGAAGTGATGGTGGGTTCAAGGCTGTAGGAATTGTGGGGATGGGTGGTATTGGCAAAACTGCACTTGCCCAATTGATCTTCAACACACAAGAAGTGAAGAACCACTTCTGTCCGAGGATCTGGATATGTGTATCTCAAAGAGTACACAAAGAGAATGGCATGGAAATCGAAATCAGGAAGGAGATAGTGACGAGGATTCTGATGCATCTAGGGATTGACTCTCCGGACAATAATCTTGCAGAACTACTCTTCATTCTTCATCTACAGTTGATGGGAAAGAGATATCTAATTGTTTTTGATGACGTCTGGGACACAGACGAGTGGTATGATCAATTGCAGTTAGATTTGGGCTTGCCTGAAGGAGATCAATGGAGTAATAACATCAGAAATGGATTGCCAAAGGACAGCGGCGGCCGAGTTGTGGTCACAGGTAGACTTGAAGATGCAGTTAAGAAGATGGTTGGGGAGAACAACTTGCTTCGCCTTTCGCCTTGGAACGGGGAGACTTGTTGGCCCATCTTCGTAGACACTTCTGAAATTCATAGAAGCAACTGTGATCATCCAAGTGTGGATGCTATCAAGACTGAAATTTTGGAAAAATGTGACGGCCTTCCGTTAGCTGCAAAGACAATGGGGCAGATTATGAGGGCTACAGTTTCAGTTTCTACCTCTGAAACATTGCTGTAATTTACTAATTTACTCCATTTGTCTATCAATTCTATCCATATTTTGGTTGAGTTATTTAGGAATTAATGGTGATAACTTCCGACCTCGGATCTGCTCCTCCCGATATTTATTCATGGGAAGATGTTCCCAAATGCACGGCTGAAATGTGCTGTGAGGTCTCGTGTGAGGCATGCTCAGTGAAAAGCAGATCCAAACTTGATAATTTCCTTAATCGAGTCCAGATCACCTACCAACAAAACATGTTCCAACCCTCTACCAACATAAACATCTCATACATGGCAGTCCAACTTTTATGGTGGGTCCCAGTCTCATAGTAAGATGTGTGGCGGTGTTAGATTTTGTTGGTAGAGGGTTGGAGTGTGTTTTGTTGGTAGAAGATGAAAACCTAATCGGATTGAAAGCTTTATTTTTTTGTTTTGGGTAAAATATAAAAACCTTCCCTCAAGTTTTTGACAATCATAAAAACCTCCCCTATTGTTTCATTTTAGCAAAAACCTCCCCTCTATTTTTTGTAAAATTAATAAATACTTCCATTTCATCAAGGACCAAGACAGAAAACATTAAAGAAATGACCTTTTTTTTTCAAAATACCTATTTTGCCCTTTCTCGAACACTGTTCATCTTCTTCCCTGTTCGAACCCAAAAGTAGAGGCAGTGGCGGCACCGGTGATAGCGGTATGGCGGTCCAGACTATGAGAGGAGAAGGAGCAATGCATTTCCAATGAAAAAAGAACAGATTACCAATCAGCCCAGATTATCTTGTAATGGGCGGCATTGCATTTCATTTTCAAACTTTTCCCAACAACAGAAAGGGAAAGAGTGGCGTTTGCAAAGCCTGGCCAATGGCCTACCACGAACAGTTGACTTTCCAGGCATAGAGAATAACTTCTCAGTTCCACGGTTGCGCCTTTACACAGTGAAACCAGCATTACCGTTCATTTTAGTACAACCTTACTACTTTTTGCTACTATGCACCAAACAAACTGAGAGAGACAATCAGACAACAAGGAGAGAAAGAGAAGGAACTTATTGTAACTAAAGTTGGCGAGGCTGCCACAAGGGACGTAATCGTAGATGACGAGTTTCTCCTCGGAACCCCAGTAGAACCCTCGTATGCGCACCAGATTGGGATGGCGCAATTTAGCTATAAGCTTGACCTGATTCTCGAAATCTCTGTATCTCTCTATACCACTCTCACCGATCCTTCGCACCGCCAGCGTCGTCCCGTCCTCCAGCACGTCCTTGTATACTATGATCGAACTAGTCGCTCCCAATATATAAGTTGATGCTTTCAGCAAAGTCTTCAGCTCCAACTCCGTTTCTCCGTCTACAATTATAAGAGACCCTCCCTTCTGTTATTGCTGCTTTTTCTGTTGTTCATCACCCACCTTTTCCTCTTCGTCTTCATCACTATCAATGCTCGCCGTCTCGGACGTCTCTTCGTCGTCATCATTTTTCTTTCCCAGGCACCAGCACGCCGGCCCTTTCGGTTCCACTGATGACAAAGGCCAGATATCTTTCCCATCCATTTTGTCTTTCTTCTCTGCGCTTCCTGTACTACTGACCACCTTCTTCCTTCTCTTCCTTATTTGGTAAATATAACAGAATATCAAAGCCAGAACTCCGATACCAGCCAAATCCCCAAAGATGATGCCTGCAATTGTTCCTAGTCTAAGACCCCTCTACCTTTGCTATTGAGTCCCATTCATCGTTCCAGATGACCCAGTTACAGGTGTCGAGTCTATGGTGTTCGGAATAGCTGCAAATGCAGGAGGAGAAGTAATTTCAGAGACATTGGGTGGAGCAGAAAGAATGGAAGTCACTTCCCGCATAGACCCGGGTTTCTAGCGAACAATTCCGTTTTCTAATTGAGAAAAGCTACATTTTTCGGGATTTCTCCTGTGAGATTATTGAACGAGAGGTCAAGTGTGACATTTCCCGGGATTTGCTTCCCAAATTCCGGTGGAATCCTTCCGACGAGTCTATTTATGAGAGGTTCAAGTAACAAAGGCTGACTCCACCGAAATCTGGCGGCAACGACCCGTTAATCAGATTGGAAGACAGATCTAAAACTTGAACGGCTTCGAACACACTTGGAACATCGCCAGAGAAGTAATTGTTGCTCAAGGAAACGATAGTAAGATTTCGAAGAGCAGTGAGGTTCTGAGGAATCTTTCCCGCCAAGGCATTAGCAAAAAGGTTAAGAAACTCAAGGTTCTTTAGCCCTCCGATTGTCTCCGGTAATGCGCCTGAAAGAACAGGGGTATTTCCAACTAACTAGAAGAAGAAGAAGAAAATGAGAGAAAGGGAGAGAGGGAGGAAGGGAGTGGCTGAGAGGGGGTGTCGCCGCCGCTGCTCTGCTTCTGGTTCGAATGGGGAAGGGGAGGAATAGTGCCTTTTTGATTGATTTATGTTGAGGGGGAGAGGGGCAATAGGAAAGAGAGATTGAGAGGGAGAGAATGGTGGAAAGGGAGAGGTTTCGCATGAAGCACCGCCGCTACTGAACAGGAGTGATGGAAGGGGACAATGCCAGAAGAAGAAGAAGAGGAAAAAGAAGAAGAAGAAAAGAACGAGAAGAATGGTGGAAAGGGAGAGGTTTTGCATGAAGCACCGCCGCTACTGAACAGGGGGTGATGGAAGGGGACAATGCTAGAAGAAGAAGAAGAAGTAGAGGAAAAAGAAGAAGAAGAAGAAGAAGAAGAAGAAGAACGGAAAAGAACAAGAAGCTGAAGAAGATGAGAGAAGAGGAAGAGATCGGATTTAGAGGGGTGCTGAGCTGCCTCTGCTTTGGGGTTCGAACGGGGAAGAAGATGAACAATGTTCGAGAAAGGATAAAATAGGTTTTTCTAAAAAATGATTATCTCTTTAATGTTTTCCGTCTTGGTAATTGACGAAAGGGAGGTATTTGTTAATTTTATCAAAAATAGAAGGGTGATTTTTGCTAAAATAAAATTATAGGGGAGGTTTTTATGATTATCAAAAACTTCAGGGGAGGTTTTTCTATTTTACCCTTTTCTTTTTTAAATAGAAAAGAAAACGAAAATTTTTGAGACAAGACTTTCCTTGTCCAGTGATGTCATCGGATAAAGACCTCCCTGCATGTTAACCAGAATTGGATTCAGAAGTGGATATATCACTCCATTATAAGAAAAAGGGTAAATTAATTGTTGAAACCTCTTTGAAGTTTTGTAATTTTAATCACCTCCTCTCTACTTTCTAACATAGTTACAAGTAGATCCCCTTTGTTAGAATCTTCTAGAAAGAGACATGAAAATGACCAAAATATCCATGTAGTTATTTTTGACTAAAATTATTATTTTTCTAAATTTTCTCCTCATACTACCTTGAACCCTTCTAAATTTTCTCCAAATTTGCCCTTCATATCAACAACTTTTGTTGTTTATGAAGTTTGTATTATTGGAAGGGTTATAGTCCATCTAATGGAGAGCCAAACAAGGTTAAATGGCTAGGCAAAATTTTAAAAATTTTCTAACTCTTCTAGAAACCGACTTCCCGATGTTTTAAAAAATTGCAATTTCTTTTTTCAAATCGATCTTACACTACACTGAACCAGATATTAAACCAAATCAAAAAGGGAAAATGATACTTGATACAGATACCACAAATTCAGATCCCAAGGTGGAAGTTCACGCCTAAATCAATCCTAAAACTAACCTCCAATAAAGATGGCACAGTGTATAGGTAAAATTGGTTTAGTAACATTGTTTTCTCGAAAACTACTATCCTAATTGCTTGGATTGAATAAGGTGAATGAGATTGATCTTTATCAACGTTTTTCTTGCAAAAACTTGAAGAATTGATCAAAATCAATTCTTGAAAGCCTAGGTTGAATTAGGGTTTTTTGAAAGACGAGGGAAGAAGAGGGAGAAAGAGTGTCAAGACTTCTAGTCTAGTTTGCCATCTTCTCATTTATCTCCTTATGGAGTACTCTCCTAATCTAATTAGGAGACTAACCAAGCCTAATTTAAATATGGACTCTATTAACAAATAAACATTATCCTCTTAAAAAGATAGGTGCTCCATATCCAATACCAAACTTAAATTTGACCCAACGTACATGACAACTTAAGTTGTCATGTGACAATTTAATTAATCTTATTAATTTTGGGCCTTAGTCCATTTACTTCAAAGGCTCACGACCCAAGGTGTTGCATAGCCACTTTAGGCTTGATATTTTATGGTGTGGACCCCATAATGATTTCATGCAATTCCATATGGGTTCGGCCCAACCTCTGAAACAAGCTATGAACCCTAACCCAATCATCATTTATTAAGTTTGGGCCCAACATTTACATGTAAATTATCCTTGGATTTAACCACCCTATAAAGACCCAAGGATAATGGACTTATGTAAAACAAAGCCCATAAGGTGTAATTTTCCCTATAATGATCTCTTACACTTAACCTCTAGGCCCATAATGATCAAAACACTTCCTGACAAGGAAGGAGGTGCAATGCCACACTTTCTACTAAGATGGATCCCAAGATTAAAACCATTTGCAAACCTTTTTCATAAAATAGTAGTATATAATATATAAATACATTTTGCAAAACAAGATTTCAAATACAAGTGAAATCTACTACCAGTAGTTTAGGTTTACATCAGAGAGAGTGTAAACCCTAATATTCACTTTGTTTGACAAATGGGTCAATCCTATCACTATGATAACCCACTCAGGTGAATTCTCAGATGCCCCAACATATCCAAGTATTTGACCCTTAATGGATCTCACTAATTGGCATATCAGAGGTAACCCAATCCAACACTTAGTGTAGTATCATAATCAAGTCTAGGGTTATGTGTAATTTTCTTGTTTTGCCCATCTATCTCCAAGGTTCAGGGCATAACTAGAAATTAGTCCAGGTTCAATGCTTCTAATAAACACCCATTGACTGTGCTTGGGGTTTAACCCTAACAATTGAGACAAGCTGTTTTTGTTAAAGTGCTTTTGTAAAAGTACTTTTATAAAAGTGCTTTT